GCAGAAGAGATGTACCACCCCACAAGCACTTTTTAGCCGTGGGGAGCATTTACAGTTCTCTGGGCACTCACCTACATAGCCAATGAAGTAGTGAGCACTGTTTGGCTTCCCTCCGATCACTCCCAGGGACTGGGGCATCATGAAGCAGTGCTGGAAAAGCAACACAGAGAACACACAGCTGACAGACAGTGAGACAGCAGGTGGGAACAAAGGCAAACATCCAAAAAATGCAGTGGGAAAGAAGGACAGGGACACAGAAAATTGGCAACTCTAGCAGCAGAACCAGCCACTCCTGGGGAAAAGCTCCATCAAAAAGGCTGAAGGCACAAGGCCTTTGAAGAACATAGAAGCAGCTCAAAGACACTTTTAACTGCTGACAGGGACACAGAGGTAAACTAAATAGAAGAAGCTGCACAACTCCAGGACTTGATATGGGCAAGTCCTGGCTCTGCTGCAGTCAGTGGCAAGATCCCTGGAGCTGTCCTCAGGTTGCAACAGTGCTCTTGGGAGGGAATGATCATTCAGGAAAGTTTAAGTTCCTTATCCACCTGCAGCATCCAAGCATGATCCTGAGCTAAGGGAGTAACCTCATGTTCATTTGGAGCTCTCTTAGCCATGCAGCTCAGGGCTTGCTGCCATTAGGACAAAGAAACAATGTGCACCCTGTCTTGCAGGTATTCCATGCACCCTAAGTTCTGCAGCCTCTCACTATCCACCCTGCAGCCCCTGCTGCTCCGGTGTGCAGCACCAGCTGCAGCCTCAGAGCCACAGAGAGTGTGCAGCACTGCATCAACTAATGCTCAGGTTACCACCCAGCAGGGCAGAGCTGTGCTGAACAAATGCTTCAGCAGGTTGGTACCAATTAAACACAAAAAGGGACTGAGATCAAGCTGTGAAGAAACATCCTGAAAAGACAAAAAGCAACCAAAAAAGGCCCAACCTCCACATTTTCCTGACTACACCCTGCAAGAACCTGTATCCTGACCTCTGATAATGGTTGTGTCTCAACACACTTTTCTTCTGCAAACAGGACAATTACTGCTGCCAATCACTTAATTCCCAGCAGGATCCTTGGGCATCACAGCAGCAGGAGCAGGAATTCCAGATGCCCTACCTTTAGTGTTTCAATATAGGCTTCATTGATCTCTGTGAGCCCGAGGCGCAGAGGTATCAGCAGCACCAGTGGTTTCCACAGCACCAGCCTCTCTCTGCCTGCCACATCCTCTGGGCACCCGTTGGAGAGCACCTCTGACTCCAGGGCAGGGCTTGCTGCAGCTCCAGCACACAGCAGGTGGGACTGGCACAGTCGCCCTGCTTTAGTGTTTCAATATAGGCTTCATTGATCTCTGTGAGCCCGAGGCGCAGAGGTATCAGCAGCACCAGTGGTTTCCACAGCACCAGCCTCTCTCTGCCTGCCACATCCTCTGGGCACCCGTTGGAGAGCACCTCTGACTCCAGGGCAGGGCTTGCTGCAGCTCCAGCACACAGCAGGTGGGACTGGCACAGTCGCCCTGGGGAAAAGGAACAGGAGCAGAAAGCATCAGAAATCACCTCCATCTCCAGACCTTGAGTCATTCCAGTCAAGCTCTGATCAACAACTGCTATTTACCAAATGCCAACAGCACAGTCACAGAGTGCCCTGAGCTGGAAGGACCCACAGGGATCATCAGTCCAACTCCGGGCCCTGCACAGGACACTCCAACAAACCCACCCTGTGCTCTTCACCACTGAAAAACACTTAAACACCAAGAAAAGCCTGAGGAGGTCCAGTGCTGGGATTGTGATGTGTGTGCTCCCTGCAGAGCTCAACCTTTCAGCTCAGCTCACCCCAAGCTTGTGCCAGAGCTTGCTGCAATCACAGTTCCCACTGCTGGGCAGCTACAGTGCAAACTATTCCAGAAGCTAAGCAACCACCTGTGCCAACAAGGTTGGACAAGCTGATTAGGAGATAAGGCAACACTCCAGAATTCACCAAGTGTGTGGACAGAGAGAGAAAAGTCTGGACTGTTCAACTTCAGAGGAGGTCATGGAGGATATGAATGAATTGGATGACGATAGAGTTGGCTTAAGACAGGAAATATTCTCCTGTAATTAAGTGCATTAACATGGCACCTGTCTAGAGCAGTTTAATTTTCCTAAAGTTCACTGAAACCTTCAGAGATTTTACTGAAGATCATTCAGGATGAGCAGGGTGATCAAACTCTGCCATTCCAACAGGAGCTCTGCCTCTAAGATATGGGGCAGCAGCACTTAATGGGCACACAGATGACATGAGCACTCTGCAGCCTCATTCTACAGGCTAGACAAACACAGCCAGGCTGTAATGCACCCAGTTATGTAAATCTTGTTCCAGAAACAACTCCAAGCCTCCCTGTCTCACTGGCCAATTTCATTACTTGATGGGTGTGTAAAAAACAAATCCCTAACCCCAAAGAAAGCCACAGCACTTTAATCAGGAAGCCGAGGCAATTAGACAAAATGCCAGAGGCTCAATTAATTCCTGGCCTAAACTGAATGCCCGGACACTCTAGCAGGTAGGACACGATGTAAACAGACACCTTCACCAGCCACTTCAGCTGGGTGTTTGCTCACTCCTGAGAGCTTCAAATGTAGCTGAAGGAGGAGAATGTCACACCTCAATTTAACCTAAAGCCTCAGGAGGAGGCACAACCTGCATGGAAGTTTGCAGTCTTCCCTATACTGTCCCTCCAGGAGGGAGAATGTGTGAGTATCTCATGCACAGACATAGTTACCAGAGGTCCTGAGAAAACTGAGTGTCACGATTTGTGGTAATTTCTCCTGTTAAAACAGGTTCTTTGCTGCTGTAGCCTGGCTGTCCTGATCTAAAATCAGCTGCCAAGCCAGGGCTGTTGCTGGATGAGGTGTTACTGCAGGTTTCCTCATCAGGCAAAGCACCTGGCAATCCTGCACTGTGGTTTGAACATACTTAACCCAAGTTTAAACAGCAGAGAGCTTGGCACAGACTAGGTTCACCTTGATCTTTGGCAAGCTCTGCAGTGCTGTGGTGCCACAAGCACAGCAGAAACTGCCTAGAGCTTCCCAGCTGGATCCAAACCATTTACTGCAAACATATTCCAAGAGATCTGACACGACATCTCTCCTGCTGTGGCTGCTGCTGTCATGTATTGGCTTTGCTGTCTTGGGACTTTTCTGATGCACAGGATCCTCCAATGCCCAGCTGAGAGCCCCTTTCTGATGGAACAGTGACTCAGAAGGGATAAAGATGGATGTTGCTTCACTGCTATAGCAACAGGCACTTCCTGTGAGCCTTAGGCTGAGCCCTACCAGTGACAGAATTAACAGATTGATGAAACAACATTCCTACTATCCATGTGTGTTTGGGACACAAGATGCCCAACACAAACCCACAGACATGTATGTAACACATCACAGCCACTCACACTGTGACTTTCAGGCCCTGAGCAGGTCCCTGAGGATCCACATCTGAGGAAAACCAACACCCCATGTGCTCATGACAAGCTGCACAGACACATCACTTGAACAGCCAGTGCTGCCCAGAGCCTGCAGAATACCCAAGCCTTGCAGACACCAAGCTTCCACTTTAAAAGTGATGTTTTCAGGCTTAAGATGAAAGATAAACCAAATTTGTGTTGACATTGGCCCTTGTTTATGCCAAAGGCATCAGCATGTGCCTTCACCTAAGGTCTGAGGCTGTGCTCAGTCAGATGCAACTGAGACCACCTGACAAGAGATGTGACTTTGTGCAGTGACTGTCCTGCACTCCAGGGGTAAATTGCTTGTTAATTGATTCTGGCTCTGTGGCAGCCAAGCCAGCCTAAATGATGCCTGCCACAGCCTCACCTGTAACCTTGCACCAGCTCCAGCACTCCATGGAGAGCTGTACCTGCTTCAGAGCACTGCCCTGGCAGAAACACTGCAGAGTTTGTGCTGGGTGAGCTCAGTGCCTCAGGAGTTAGCCTAAACAAGCCAAGGGAGGGCTGGTGAGGCCAGGACTGTGCAGGGCTGCAGCAACCAGCACTGCAGGCACTCAGCTTTGGTGCTGCAGCACTGCAGCCTGAGCAGGCAGGCAGGGGCTGGGCACAGAGCCTGCAGAGCCAGCCTAGGGGCAGGAGGCACCAAAAAACAAACCAAGAAGGAAAAAACCAAAAGAAATCACCAGTGAAGACTCTTTGAAACAATGAGAGATCCACTCCAGAGATGGATTCCCTTCTTATTCTCCTCTCTCTGCCTATTTTGTTCATTGTCCTCTTCAGTGATCTGTCCTAGTTTTCTTACCCTGCCTATGAAGAGAGACATTCCTACCCCACTGTGTGAGAGAGGAAGCAACTATTTACCACTTCCTACCTGTGGCCATAAACCAGTCTCACACTGCCTTCCAAGCAGCTCCCATATGTTCCCTGAAGGTCAGCAAATTTTCTCTCCAGATCCAGAGGACACAACACCAAGCCAGAGGCTTTATCAGATGAAGCAAGTCGAACAAGGACCTTCCTTGCCCTAGAACAGCAATTCTCACACTTCACCACAGTTCTCACAGGCCGTAGAATGGGTTGGATTGGAAGGGACTTAAAGCTCACCTTATTTCACTCCCTGCCATGGGCAGGGACACCTCCCACCAGCCCCACGTTGCTCCAAGCCCCATCCAACCTGGTCTGGAACACTCCCAGGGATGGGGCAGCCACAGCTGCTCTGGGCAACCTGTGCCAGTGTCTCACCATCCTCCCAGGGAAGCATTTCTCCATGACAGAACATGTACTTCATGCTTGTTGTGCTGTGCTACCACATGCTCTCCAGATCTTTTCTGGCTTCTTGTTGCCAGGGGATATACCACACTCTACTTCCACATGATACTTACGGATCTCTTCCATCACTACTGTGTTGTCCATGGCTATGTGCACTGCCAGGGAGCTCCACGTGTCAAAAGTGGCAAGTTTTCTACAGGAAAGTTAAAAAAAGCTAAGTAAGGATTACAACAACTACCAGGTAGAGGTGGTGATGTGTGAGAGAGGAAACACTGGATTAGGGGAGCCTGGTGTTATCAGTCCTGCTGTGTAGTGTGCTTTGATGCAGGCAGAGCTGCAGACTTCATCACTGCCCAAAGAATAAACAGGATTGCATTGGGATCACAGCTGGCAATCTGTCCCTCAGCAACCCTGATACCATCTCTCATTCAAATCCCATAACTGCAGGTCACCAGAAAGTGAGATAGCATCAAAAGGAAATAATAAATGGAAAGAAAATCCCTTTGCCTCCCCACACATCTCTCCTGATCCCCTGTACCAGACCCTGGGCTAACTCACCCCATGGCCTGACCCAGGGGAGCTGCTTTTAGGCAATCCTGGCCTACTCCAGGGAGCTACCAGCATGGGGAGAGGATGGAGGGTGTTATTAAAGGCAGTCCCTGAAAACTGGGAGGTACCACAGCACAAAGGACCCCACTGCCTGCTTCAAAAAGGTCAGAAGAAAAAGGCAGCACTTACTTGAGCACCTGCGCGACTGTGTTGGGTCCATACCACTGCCCTATGGACTTTCCCTCTCCAACTCCCATCTGGGCTGCACCACAAGAAACAAACAGAACCATGTGGTCAATAATTTCACCACACTGTGTCTGTTCCTAAGCAAGTTTGCATTCAACAGGGAAGAATTCTTACCTGGAAATGTCATTGAAAGGGCAGGATTGACCCTTTTGTGGGGTATCTCTGTGTGGATGGGGGTGGGAGGCACACTCTGAGGGGCTGTGGAGCAAATCCTTTCCCCAAAGTAAAGTGGTACAGCAATTCCAAGGGCAGTGTTACCTCAGGAGAAGCTTCCCCCTCAAGTGTTTGATCACCAGATCACCCCTGTAATCTGTAACCTGAGTTCTGTTGGCTGAAGCTATGGGTGCTTTGACACCCCGTGGGAAACACTGGAACAGTCTGCTTCCCTTTCATTTGCCAGGGCAAGTTTATATCAAGGTGAGATCCCTCCTTAATCCATTTTGCTCCTTCTGAGCACTTCTTTACTCTTACCTATCTGGTGGATGGAGTAGTAGCTGTCTTTTTTGTCAATGAAGGCATTCAGAACGTTGAAGTAATTATCCATCTGCCTCTTCCCTTTCATCCACCTCCAGTCTAAGAGAGACAATGGGATGAACAGTGAAACAAAATGTGGTATTTATTAGCAACCAGAGGCTGCAAGCTACAATCCTCTTCCTGGACATCAACCAAACAACCCGATTTTCATGTTGTTATCTTACTACTGGGCAGCTCAGGCATTCCAGCAGGAAAGGGTTAACTGTAGAAGGAAAGAAAGTATTCTCACAGCTGGGGTAAGGGAGTATCACCCACAGGAAAAGCAAACAAACACACAAAAATAGTCAGAAAATACCAATATCTATGTGGAGTTGTAGGCAACAGGGAAGAACCTGCTGCAGAGTTGCCAGCATTGTTCTCTCCACAGCCCTGGACTTGAGGAAACTGAAGAAGAGTCACAGAGCCCTCAGCAATTCCCAGCTGTGCCCTTGTCATCTCTGCCCTTACAAGTGCTGCACTTGTGGGAGTCAGCATGGGCTATGCCCTGGGTTACCTCTTCCCAAATGCCTGCAGACCAGAGCCTGAGCAAAGATCATCTGTCCACAGCGCAGCATACAGCCCCAGCCAGTGTCAGATGTGGGACCAGTTCCTCCTGGAGACAAGGACAGGAAATAAATAGGCAATGAATGGTAAAACAGGGAGGGGAATGCAGGGCAGCAGGTTCACCATGAGGCAGGGAATAAGGACTACCCTAGCTCACACACCCAAGGCTGAGAGCCAAAAATGTGGCTATCAATGAGTAACTTGTTGGCAAACCTCAGAAACAAATAAACATTGGCTGAAAGGGGAAAAAACCTTCAGAGGGAAATCCCAACAACCCAGCTGTGTTTCTCAGGAGCACAACAGCCCTCGAGCCTGGCTGCAGGCTCCCAGCCCAGTTCAGAGACACATTTCTGCACAGAGGTGACTCTTGTAATCCTTGTCTGGAGAAGGCAACTCATCATGCACCACAAATCAGTCCAAGGGAATCCCCACACCAGAAGAACTGTGACTGGGTAAGAGTCCAAAGTGAACAACATTGTTAGGCCAAAGAAAAGGCACCAGCCAAAATATACCAACCCACCCTAGCAGTGAGAAAAAAGACAAAACCTACATAATTTTGGAGGAAAAGCTGGATATTAACCCACTCTGGGAAGTCTGAGACAAAGGCCTCAAGGCTGGGAGCATTTCCCTGACAGAACCCCAAAAGGAAGCTGCTGCTCCTCCACTGCAACTCTGGCTGTTACAACCAATACTAGAGCTGAAATGTTCAGTGTGACCACAGCAAGTGAGCTGTCTCAGCAGCACACAGACACCTACAAGGCCTTGCAATGCTACTTTGCTCTTTTCATCCTGAGCAACTACTCTGCGCACAGGGAGACAAGGCACCCAGAGAACAATTTATTCCACTTCTGGATGGGCAGCAGCTGCCTTGTAGAACTTCACCAGTCACTTACAAGACAGACAACTTCCAAAAATGGGAATGCTTTACCAAATTACCATCAGACAGTCCTCTTACCCTTAGTATTTCAGTGGGCAAGCACAGAGGATTGCACAAGAGACGTCTGGGAGAAAAAAATACTGGGAAAGGTTTACTGCATGACATGCAAATCACATCTATTCTATAAGTGGGAAGTGACTCAGAAAACAGGGTCTGTCTTTGCCCCAGAGCCTTCAGTGACTCAAACAGAAACCCCAGCTGTGCCTGTGAGCCAGTTACACACATGCCAACCCTTCAGACTCAAACATGTGTTTAACTCTGGTGCACAAATGTGAGTTTGAAGGGATTAAACTGCATCAAAGATGTCTCAGAGCTTGTGAGGCAAAGGGTTTCCCAGCAGGGAAAGAACAGAACAGGCCAGAAGGACCAGTTACCAAGAAGTCTCTTTTCCAAACCTGAGTCATTTTCTCCACTGCCTGCTGGGGAGGACACTGAAAGGGGGTACAGATGGGGCCCACAATCCCAGTTACGTGCTCTTGGATCTCTTCTGATACACCTTGCACCCAGCACACAAAACCAAACCACAGGTAGAACCATGCTGAGTATCTTTAGGAACTAACTTGTCTTCCTTTGAGTTCCCTGGGAAATATTCTCCATATCACTACAGTTCCTGTGTGCAACAGCCACTTCAGGCATTTAAACCCTCACACACAAACAAAAACCTTACACACAGTCTAGAGCACATGCACAGAGGCAGCAATTCCTGTATCATATCTCTGCTTTCATCATTTAAATCCACTTCAAGACCATCATTAAATAATATTTCATATGAGACTTCCATGGGACCTAATGAACGTGGAGCACAAGAACTGCCTCACACTGTTCAGAGCAAGGATGTTCCCAGGTAAACTTCCCAAACTCCTCCCTTTTAAAGTCACTGCTATCCCTCATACCCAAAGGCGTGAGGAATTCTCATTATCAGATGCACAAAATGTCTGTCCTATCAGTTCAGTGAAGTGCATTTCATATTCTTATCAATGGAAATGATGTCATGCTTGTGGGGACTGTTTTATCAGGGATTATTATCACTTCCAGGGTGCCTTGAGGCTCCTTCACAGTACATACCAATAGCAGGGAAGTTCTTTCTGTAGGTGAACCAAAGCCGAGAGGTCACATCCGACAGGATCTCCTCCTTCTCTGAAATATGTCCAGCATTGAAAGGCACATGCATGAGGGGAGCACCAACACAGCTGAACCCACCTCCCACCCACCTTCCCCACGGACAACAGCATCCTGCCACTCACAGTCTGCACACTCAGGGAGGCAGAGCCTGGCTGAGGAACAAGGCAGTGCTACTGTGCAGGAAAAGCTTCCTTTTTACCCCAAAACTGCTGCAATCAACCCAAAGACACTATGGCCACAGGCAAATTGTGAAGCAGCAAACCATCTCCTTGCCTCTGAGCATCTCCCTGCATCCACTATCCTGCCCTCATGAGTCCCAAGAACTATGTGGTGACTTCCTGCACAAAAGTATCCCAGTGTCTGGTGAAATGGCCAGACAGGCAAAAACCTGGCAGGTAAAACCCAAGTGCCACATCACCAAAGTCCTCTGGAGCACTGGACATGCAAAATACCTGTAAAAACACTGTATTTCTGTCCAAGGATCCAAACAGGCTCTTTGGTCTCAGGGAAGTCTTCATACTCAAACCTGAGGGTGTCGTAGGTAAGAGTAGCTGGAAAGAGAAATAAGAAATTACAGAATTTCATAGCTTTGCCTTGGGTTTTAAACACCAGGCAGACCTGGAGAATTAGAGCTGCTGTGGCCCAGTAGCTCACAGCCAGAGCACATGAGCTGGCAAGAAACTGCCCTGCACCACCAGCTCTGGGAGGCACAGAGATGATGCAGCCTTGGCTCACTCCTGGCTGCTCCACAGGAAAAAGCAGAGGGATTTCCAGGTTAGACCAGCTCCAGGTTCTGCCCGGGGCACAAAACTTGTAACACTTCAGCTGGCAGCTGCACCACCTCCCACAACAGGCACCACTGGTATCTATGTTGAGGCTCTCTCCAAAGGAGCACAGTGGTTAAAATCCTCTTCCAGGGAACACAAACCTTGGGGGAGGGACGAAAAGCACATATCACCTGAAGCTGGGAACTAAACCTTGCTCTGCAGGTTAAACCTTGATGGGAACTAAACTAAGATGGGAAAGAAACCTTGCCCCGTCACTCCTCAAGAGTCAGTAAAGCCAGCAGGAGCCTTTGCAGGGGTCACATGTGTGAGAGACACAGAGCTGTGCAGATGTCCTTGTCCACAGGTGACAGAAAAACCTTGTGTCTCTTTTACTGGCTACCTCCACAGCACAGCATTCATCAAGGCCTAAATATCCTCTTTCAGGACCACCACAGAGCAACCCAGCAGCACAGGCTGCCCTTGGGTCAGGGCAGCTTAAGCTTTTGTGCAGAAGGCACAGACAACAGGATGGAAACAACAGGAGTTGGATAAACTGTGCTCCACTACCACCCCGGAAATGTAAAGCAGAGCTAAACCAGGTTGTTCTGTAACTGCCAAAGCACTTCAGTCCCCATTCCTGTCCCCTGATGTGACTCCTCAGCAAGCTAAGCAAAGTAGTTCTGCTTGCACAGAGACATCCCAGCAGGTCACTGCAGCCTTCTCCTCTAACAAACCTCAGCAGGTAAAGGAAGGAATTATTTCCCGTCTACTACCCAAAGTTTATCAATTCCCAGGATCATAAAGACAACAGCATCTTAACAATAAAACTCAAGTTCTCAGGTAGGTTCTAAAGCTCCAAGGAATATTTTGTGCTTATTTCATCAGTCCCTAAGCTTGCCATAAATCCAGCTCTCTGTCAGGAGTCTCAAACAGCTCAAAGAAAACTACTGAAACAAGGATTTTACACAGGAACCATCAAGCCACCCACCATCCCTCCTTGTCCTTCACACCAACACTCCCTCACCTGTTCCAATGCCCTAACCCCTGCAGCTCCATGTTTTGCAGGGCACCAGGTCTTTAGCAAAGACAGGTGTGCCACTGGCAGCTTCATAGCAGCTGGAAAGAGGCTGCTGGAGTCCTTCCCCTTCTCTTGGAGAGGAAGGGGTCAGCAGGCAGAGGGGGCTCCCCACTGGACCACCTGGTCAGGGAATGCAGCACATGTGCCATGACACTGCACATTTGGGAGGAGAGGCCCAGGCTTGCAGCCCTGCAGCTGAATGCCCAACATCTGGCTCTGTACAAGGCCCAGCGTGTCCAGCTATGCATCCCAAAGAAGTGTCAGGCATCAATGCTTTCTTTTTTTGGAAAAAAAATACTTGAACAGGCAAAACTGCTAAATGCAGGAGTTCAGGTTTCCCCTTTCCAGGAAGGCAAAGTCAAGTGGCTGCTCCCAGTCAGCGTCAAGGACATTAAAATGGGAGCAGTAAACTCCCCACAAGGCTTGAAGTCACTGTTTCCTTTACAAGCATCCACCTTCACAAGCTCCAGCACTTTTCCAGATTCCATCCACTGTGCTACTGCCCAGATGGGCTAAACACAAGCCAGTGGGAGCCAAATGATTCAGGCAGGGGCACACAGTGTCACAGCTGCACAGGAGCCTCTCTCTCCCTCTTGTAGCTAGAGGCAAAGGGTCTGAAAAGCAATAAAGCTGAAATTCACCCAGCAGAAATCCTGTTTGAAGCTGCTGCTGTCAGAGCTGCAGAAGCTGTGTGAGATCAGCACATTTCTCGGGCAGTGCTCCAGAACTTCACCTTCAAACAGCCCTGGGACTGTTCTACACCGACCTGGGAGCAGCCAGGACAGTGGAGCAGCAGCTCCTGCAGAGAGAGATGTGCAGTCACTGCACATCAAACACAACAGCTCAACTTCACAGATGATTCAGAGTTGAAAAGCAGAGTGCCAGCCCTAACAGCATGTCCTGAGAAGGGTAGCCTCACTTTCCAGGAGCCTTGGGCACGCTGGGAATGATGTGAGGCTGGCTGGAGCTCTGCCCCATGGGCACAGTGTCTATGGGATCTGCTGTGGTGCCCAGAACACCTTCTCACCCCACAAAGTCTCAGCAGAAAAGGCAAAGCTTTGTACACACCACTACAGAATCACAGGATGGTTTGGGCTCGAAGAGACCTGAAAGCTCATCCAGTCCCACCCCCTGCCATGGGCAGGGACACCTCCCACCAGCCCAGGTTGCTGCAAGCCCCATCCAACCTGGTCTGGAGCACTCCCAGGGATGGAGCAGCCACAGCTTCTCTGAGCAACCTGTGCCAGTGCCTCAACACCCTCACAGGGAAGAATTCCTTCCCAATATCCCATCTGTCCCTGCCCTCTGGCAGTGGGAAGCCATTCTCCCTTGCCCTGTCACTCCAGGCCTTGTCCAATGTCCCTCTGCAGCTCTCTTGGAACACTGGAAAGGGTTCTGAGGTGTCCCTGGAGCCTTATCATCTTCAGGTTGAACAATCCCAGCCCTCAGCCTTTCCTCCTAGGAGAGGTACTCCATCACCTTGACACAGAGCAATAAAAACTGTCTAAACACACAGAATTAGGGCAGAGCGTGAAATTTCCGCCCTCTTCTCATGCTTTTAAGCTGCACAGTGCAAACTTCAAGCTAAGAGCATCATCCCAACTGGCAATAAAGTCCTGAGCCCTGACAGCCACTAACTCCACCTGCCTCACCACAACCAAAGGCACTTGTTTCTCCATCAGCTTTGGGAAACTAATAACAAGCCATGACTTGGATGACTCCAACAGAAACACAGGAGGTGATTTTCCTCACAGTCTGCACAGCAAACCAGTGGAAGTTCACCTCAGCACCAACAACCCTGGTCACAGTTTGTCTGTGAAAGAGCTCATACAAAACACTGAGGGAGAGGTTGGGAGTGTTGCACTGAAGGAAAGGTTTTGCCATATATCCCATCCCAAAGTGCTCATGGGTCTTGCTCCTCCCCAAACCATTCAGCTTCCACTAACAGCACCACAAAGGGATCACGGATGAAGGGGCTGAACCTCTCCCTCAGCTCACACAGGTACTTCACCCCAGGCACAGCTGTTCCACAACTACTGGATGTGGAACATTCCAAAAGAGTCAAGGTGAATTTACTGTGTTAGTCAAACTCCTTGTGGAAAAACACTTTGAAAGCATCCAAACAAAACCTCACTTCTGGCCTCAGCAGAAGGTCAGAAGTCTTTTCTCTCCCCTGAGCTCTTTCAAACAAGACAAATCCCAACTACATGAGCAACAATGAGGAGTTAAAAGACATGGAGGAAAGTCAGTCAGCTGGAGAGTGGTGTCTCTTGGGGGCCAAGTCTGACTGTCAGGCCCCTGAGTGCCCCCAGGGGCAGGGCTGGGTGTGAAGGAGCTCAGCCCAGAGACCTTCCTCCTCCTCTCTGCGTGGGGGAGACCTGGGATCCATCCCCACTGCCCATCGCAGCCAGGATTTCTTTCCTTGGTCACAGCTCCAAGGGGAAGCAAACACATCCTCAGGTCGTGCAAGTTTTGCTGCTGGAACACTTCTTATTTCAGGTGTGACTCTGGATCCGAGGATGCTCTGGCTGAGCCAGGATGCTCTCAGCCAGGCTGGCACCAGCACCAAGGACAAGACAGGCCAGGCCAGCCGTGCGGAGGGACAGGAGCTCCGGATCCCTGGGCACACAGGCTCAGGGAGGTGGAGGAGGCGCCCAGGGAAGTGTTTGTTACGATGGAACAACACTCGTCCCTGCAGAGCGGGGTGAGAGCTGTGCCACGCCAAGGCTAGAGGGAACCAGGTCCCAGCACAAGTGCCAAACGCTTATTGTTACTTTCCCCTACGTGAAAACAAGATCTTTACCGCAAACAGTTCTGCTGGTGTCCTAAGTGAGGGTGAGCTGCCCTCTCGCCCCTAGTTAATTCCTTCTTACCCCCAGCGCCACGTCC